GCCTCGTCGCTCATGCACCAGCCCCCCCCGACCAGCTCCAGCCTCCCTGGGGGTACAGAAACACAAAATACACTCAGGGGGCAACAGAACCCCAAAATCCACTCGGGGGGGGATCCTGAACCCCAAAATCCCCAGGGCCAGCTGCTGCAGCCTCATCGCTCATGCACCAGCCCCCCCCGACCAGCTCCAGCCTCCCTGGGGGCACAGTGCCCCAAAATCCCAGTGCTCCAATGTCCCTCCCAGTGCTCCCAGTCCCTCCCAGCGCCCCCAATGCCCCTCCCAGTGCCCCCCAGTGCCCCCAGCCCCCGTACCCTGCTGCACCAGCTCCCTGACCAGCCTGCGCATGGCCGTGTCCTGCTGCTGCCACCAGCGCGCCAGGAACGCCACCTCGGCATAGACAAAGCGGCGGGAGGGGACAGCGGCCAGGTGTGCCACCACCGAGTCCAGGATGTACTGAACGCCCGCGTGCTGGTCCTTGTTCCTCACTGAGGACACAGGGAAAAAATCACCCCAAAACCTGGGCAGGGGACACCCCAAAACCCCGGCTGGGGAGACGGTGGCATCTTGGGGACAGGGGACATCCCCTGGGGGGAGCTGTTGGCCCCAGAGGGGACACACACCAAGTGCCACGTGACAAACCCAGAGGGGACAAAGGGCAGCCCAGGGGTCACTCAGTGTCCCCCTGCCACGTCAGCCCCCTCATGTGACACCCTGGCAGCCCTGGGGCCCTCCCGCCCCCCGGTGTCCCCTCCCGGTGTCCCCCCGGTGTCCCCACGCACCCCCATAGTAATACTGATCCACCGTCTTGAGCCAGCCCACGTCGTCGTGCGAGTGCGGCACCAGGTGCACGTTCAGCATGTCCGGCCGGGTCGGGGGGCACGACTGGGGGGGTTCGGGGGGGCTCGGACCGGACCGGGCCGGGCCGGGCCCGTGGCACCCCCGGGACCCCCGGGACCCCACAGGAACCCTCCGGGATCCCCCCGCGGCGTGGCCGTTGAGCTCCGGAAGCGGTTGCACAACCAATGCTCCCAGTTCCCGTTTCCTCAGCCGTCCCCAGCCCGCCCCAGCGCTCCCAGTCTGCCCAGTTCCCGTTCCCTCAGACCGCTCCGGTTCCCCCCTCAGCGCTTCCCGGTGTCCCCAGTCCATGGCAGCTCCCGTTATCCAGCCCCCACCGCCTGGCCCGTATCCCCGGGCAGTCCCGGTGCCCCAGCCCGGGTGTCCCCGGTGTCCCGGTCCCACCTGGTACCCGCAGCCCGCGGCCGCCCCGCTCAGGAGCAGCAGCAGCGGCAGCGCCGCCGCCCCGGGCACCGCCATGGCACCCGAGCTCACGTGACCGCGCCCTCACATGACACGCGGGCTCACTCCGCCCCCATGTGCGGCAGCCAATGGGTGACTGGGAAATGCGGTTGCGGCCACGCCCCCATTCTGATTCGCTGCTGCTGCCATAAGGGGCGGAGCGTAAGGAGGGCAGGACGGGGCCGACAACAGACGGGACCCAATGAGAAGGAGGAGAGGGAGTGATTGACAGCTCGCTGGGAGGGCGTTTGCAAAGGCGGGAAACGACCTGTGGCCAATGAACAGCGGCGGCTCCCGAGGCCCCGCCCACGACGAGTCTCCCTCAGAACCCCCTCAGAGACCCTCAGACACAACGAGTCCCCTCAGAGCCCCCTCCAAGTGCTGTCGCACCTCCCTCAAACCATCTGAGCCCCCCCAGAGCTCCTGAATTCCCTCAGAGCCCCCTCAGAGTCCCCTTACAGCCTCCTCAGAGTCACCTCAGACCCTCAGAGCTTCCTCAGAGACTCTTAAGACCCTCAGAACCCCCTGAGTCCCCTCGGACCCTCTGAGCCCCCTCACAGCCTCCTCAGAACCCCTCAGACTGCCCGAGTCCCCTCAGACCCCCAGGACTCCCCCTGGAGCCCCCCGGGACTCCCCCTCCCCGTTCCCCCTCTCCCGGGGGTCTCCCCTGTGCCCCGTTCAGGTACAAACAAACCACAGCAGTGCCAGGACCCCCCATTTTATTGCCCCCCATGCCCGTCACCACGGCGGGGACATGGGCTGGGGGTTCTGCAGGTACGACATGACCACGGCTGAGATGGAGAGCCTGCGAGGGGCACACACAGTGTCAGAGACCCCCCAAAACCCAGCTCAGGACCCCCACCCAGGGACCCCCAATCCGGCACTCACATGAAGCTGCTCATCATCTGCTTGGTGTCCTCGGAGCTGCGCGAGTTGGCGAAGCTGATGAAGGAGCAGTAAACGGCGATCCAGGCGCACCACTTGAGCTGGGGAGCACGGGGAAAAACCCGTGAGACCCTCGGGAAAAGCCCGTGAGACCCCCGAGGGAGCGGCGGGGAGGGGCCTGAGAGCCCCGGAGAGCACAGAGACCCCCGGAGATGGCCCCGAGCCCCTCAGGGGCTCTCTCTGATCCTCTCTCCCCCGAATTCCCCTCAGAAAGGCGCCTGGTTCCCATCCCGGTGCCGATCCCGGAGCCCACATCGGTGCCCATCCCGGTGTCCCCGGTGCCGCACCTTGAGCATGAGCCCGCACATGCTGAACACCATCCCCAGCAGGTTCATGTAGTCCGGGGTCGGGTCTTCCAGCGCCGGGTTGGTCTCGGTGGCCGGGGGTTTGTACCTGGCGGAAAACAACGGGGGTTCCGTCAGGCGGGCCGGGGCACCGGGACACCCCGCGGATCCCTCCCCGGTTCTGCCGGTCCCGTTTCTGCCGCTCCCTCCTCTCCCGGTGCCCGCAGTCTCACCTGGCCACCTTGCCGGGTCTCCGCGGGTCCGCCATGGCCCCGCCGCCGCCGCCGCCGCCTCTTCCGCCGCCGCCGCCGGAAGGAGCCCGGTCCCCGGTGCCGGCGCCGGTTCCGCCCCCGGTGCCCGCTCCGGTCCCGCCATGGCGTTCCCGAGGCCGCGGCCCGCCCGGCCCGAGCTGCCCCGGCAGCGGGTGCAGAGCCTGCAGTGCGGTCAGGGAGCGGTGCGGGCCGCCCGCTTCAACGGTGAGACCGGGGACACCGGGGGGAAACGGGGGGAAACGGGGCGGGGGAACAAAGCAGGAGCCGGGATGGAGGTTGGGAAGCGGGCGGGGAGTGCCGGTGTGGGGGTCCCGGGATCACCCGGTGTCACGGGCAGGGGGTTCTGGAGGTCTCCCGGTGTCCGGTGCAGGGGTCCCGAGTATCCCCCGGTGATCCCCCCGGTGTCCCGGTGCTCACGGCCGTTCCCCCCGCAGCGGACGGCAATTACTGCCTGACGTGCGGCAGCGACAAGACGCTGAAGCTCTGGAACCCGCACAAGGGCACGGCCCTGCGCACCTACCAGGGCCACGGCTACGAGGTGCTGGACGCCGCGGGGTAAGGAGGGGCTTCGGGGACCCCTCCCCACTTCGGGGAGCCCCCCCAGCCGCGCTCACGGGACGGGACCCCCCGCAGATCCTTCGACAACAGCCAGATCTGCTCCGGCGGCGCCGACAAAGCCGTGGCGCTGTGGGACGTCAGCACGGGGCAGGTGGTCCGCAAGTATCGGGGACACGCCGGGGTGAGGAGGGGTTCGGGGGTGGCATTTGGGGAGGGGGATTGGGCTCCCGTGTGCGGATCGAGGTTCTGATTTCCCTGCTTCTTCCACAGAAAGTGAACTGCGTCCAGTTCAACGAGGAAGCCACAGTCATCGTGTCCGGTGAGGGAGTGGTTTGGGGGTAATCTGCACACCCTGGAACACCCCTGCACCCCATTTTCCCACCCTGCACCCTCTTTTTTCCCCCCTGAACCCCGCTTTTTCTTCCCTGAACCCCGTTTTCCCCCAGGCTCCATCGACTCCACGGTGCGCTGCTGGGACTGCCGCTCCCGCCGCCCCGACCCCATCCAGGTGCTGGACGAGGCCAAGGACGGCATCTCCAGCGTGAAGCTCTCGGCCTACGAGATCTTGACGGGGTGAGGAGCGAGCCCCCCAGCACCGGGACACCCCCAGAATTGGGGGGGACTCCCTAAACCTCCCCATCCCTCCCCACAGCTCCGTGGACGGGCGGGTCCGGCGCTACGACCTCCGCACGGGGCAGCTCTGCTCCGACTACATCGGCAGTGAGTGGGCTCCTAAAGCCTGGGGGGGCTCCCAAAGCTTGGGGGGGCTCGGCGGGACCCCCCCAAACCCCCCGTGTGCCCCCCAGGCCCCATCACCAGCGTGTGCTTCAGCAAGGACGGGCAGTGCGTGCTGGCCGCCAGCCTGGACTCCACGCTGAGACTGCTGGACAAGGACACCGGGGAGCTGCTGGGCGAGTATGGGACACCCCCAGAGGCTTTGGGGGACCCCCGGGGGCTTTGGGGGACCCCCTGTGAGCCCCCACACCCTCCCCAGGTACACGGGCCACCGCAGCACCACGTACAGGCTGGACTGCGTCCTCAACGAGCTGGACACGCACGTGGGCTGCGCCTCCGAGGACGGCCACGTCTACTTCTGGGACCTGCTGGAGGTGAGGGGGGGTCCCGGGGGGGCTCTGGGGACACTCCCGACCCCCCTGACCCCCGGTGTCCCCCCAGGGCTCTCTGGCGCTCAGGCTGCCCGTGGGCCAGGGCGTGGTGCAGTCCCTGGCCTTCCACCCCAGCCTGCCCTGCCTGCTGGTGGCCACGCAGGGCCGGGTGACGCTGTGGCGCGAGGACGCCTTCCAGCCCGAGGGGGACCCCGACACCTGAGGGGGACCCCGACACCTGGCAGGGACCCCGGTGAGACGAGGAATAAACCCCCATGGAGACCCTGCCGTGCTTTATTGGGAGCTCGAATAAATAAACACAGGCATGGAGGGGACCGGGACAGAGGGACACACGGACAGGGGGGCAGGTGTGGGGGGAGACCCCCTGTCCCCCCCAGGGGGACTCACCCCACTGTCCCCCACCTTCCTGAGGGGTCAGGGGGGCTCAGCACATCCAAAGCTGAGCTTGGGGGGGTCCCTCAGGCCTTGGGAGTCCTTCTGGGGGTCCCTCAAGCCTCCGGGATCCCTCCTGGGGGTCCCTCAGGCTTTGGGGGGCCGTCCTGGGGGTCCCTCACACCTCGGGGGTCCCATCAGGCCCCCCAAAGGCCTCAGCGCTCCGGGCGAACGTCTCGGCCACGAGCAGCGGGAACACGAGCGAGGCGTCGGCGTAAACCTGGCCCAGAGCAGCGGGATCAGGGGGGAAACCCCGACTTTGGGGCTCCCCAAACCTCCCCCCGAGCCCCCCAGGACCCCCCACCTTGACGGGGGTGGCGTCCATGCGGATCTTGCCCCAGGACACGGCCTCGTCCGGCCGCGCGCCCGAGTCGGAGCCGTCGAACTCCTGCGCGGTGTTGACGTAGACGGAGAAATCGGCGCCGTTCCTCTGCCAGGGGGGCGCACCGGGGTGAGCCCCCAGCCCCTCCTCCCCTTTGGGGGTCCCCAGGCCCCCTCCCCAGCACCGGGACCCCCTCACCATGAGGTTGGCGTTGGCGATGTGGTGCTTGACCAAGCCCCCGCCCAGGATGATCATGCCGGTCTTGCGGGCGAAGATGGCCTGGGTGTTGATGAGGCGGAGATCTGCGGGCACAGGGGGGGTCAGGGCGCACTCAGGGCACCCCAAATCCTGGGGGGGCACCCCAGGGGACGGACACTGACCCTCCACGATGTCCAGCACCAGCCCCGGGCGTTTGTAGGAGTGGAAGAAGATCATGTCCCCCAGGGAGCCGTCGGTGAGCGCGGGGCTCAGCACCGGGATGTTGTTCTGTGGGGAGGGGGGGACACACGGTGACAACGGTGACAGCCACGGTGACACCCCCCCAACAGTGCCCCCAGTACCTTCTGGGCCCAGTAGCAGATGGACTCGGGGTTGTTGATCTCCTTGCCCAGCCGGGCGATCATCCGGGACGGCGTCCACCGCACGCCCTGGGGGGAACCGGCATCAGGGACCCCGGCCAGGGGGCTCAGGGGTCCAGGGACCCCCAAAACCTCACCCATGGGGTCCAGGGACCCCCAAAACCTCAGCCCAGGTCACCCCAGGTGTGCAGGGACCCCCAAAACCCTACCCTGAGTGTCCAGAGACCCCCAAAACCTCACCCATGGGGCCCAGGGACCCCCAAACCCCACCCTGAGTGTCCAGAGACCCCCTAAGGGCCCCTCCCAGCACTTTGGGGTCCCAGGTTGGGGTCTCCCCACCCTCACCTGCGTGTCCTGCTCGTCCACCATCCTGTCCAGGATGGGCATCAGCCAATCCTCGAATTTGCAGTAATTATCGTTGGGCACCAGCAGGTTCCCGATCCTGAGGGACCCCACAGTGACCCCAGAGTGACCCTGAGGTGTCCCCAGGGTGTCCCCGAGGTGTCCCCAAGCCCCCCCCAGCCCCCCCGGACCTGTTGATGCCGTTCTCCCGCAGGTCCCGGCCCCGCAGGTGGAAGTCCCCGATGTAGGTGGGGGCCAAGCACTTGATCAGGTCCTCCTCGACCCCCCCGGCCGTGGTCACCAGCACGTCCACCTGTCCGGGGGGGGTCAGCAGCTCAGGGACCCCCGGGTGTGACCCTCTGACCCCCCAGGACCTCACAGGTGACCTGGGGACACCGAAGGCCAGCAGGACAGCATCACTGCCCGATGTCCCCATGCCATTGCCACTGTCCCCACCCATTCCTGTGCCATTCTCAGGTGTCCCCATGCTGTTCCCTGTTCCCACACTGTCACCATGCCCCGCTGCACGAGGTATCGGATGCTCTCCCTGACGCCGGAGCTGACGAGGTTGGAGGTGAAGCCCAGGAAGATGGTGCAGCCCGAGGGCTCCCGCGGCCCGGCCATGGCCGCTCGCTCCCGCTGCTCCGCGCTCAGCGGCTCCAGCTTGGCCGCGATCTGCGGGGAGGGCACACCGGGCAGGGGGGGTCACACCGAGCCGGGACCCCCCCTCACCCTCCCGGTGTGACCCCAACCCCGCCACACCGGGGCCGCACCATGCGCTCGATCTCCGCCACGGCCTGCGCGAAGCTCGTGGCCTGGAAGCCGGTGGTGCGGAAGGAGCGCAGCAGCGCCGCGTGGTCCGCGCCGCCCGAGAAGTCGTAACCGCGCACCGGGAGGGCCTCGGCCGGGAGGGCCCCGCTGGGCCGCAGCACGGCCCGGAGCGCCTCTCCCGGCGCCTCTCCCGGCGCCGCCATGGCTCGGCCGGGCCGCTCAGGGCGCCGCCATCTTGGGCCACGCCCCCCGCACCGTACGGCTGCGCGCTGTTCCCGCCTTTTCCGTACGGCTGCGCGCCGCCATCTTGCCCGGCCCTCCCGCCCCCCCTTTCCGTACAGCCACGCGCCGCCATCTTGACGGGACGGCGGCCGTGGAAGGACAAGAAACTCCAGAACGCGAAAACGGCCGTTGCACCGAGGAAGCCCCGAAACGGCCGTAACGCCCCAAAACCACCAAATTCACCCCAAACCCGCAGGGAGGACACAAGCTCCGCTCCAGTCCAATCCTTTAATACCCACGAACAGGCGGCAGCTTCCAGCCCCGCCCAGGTCCCGGATCCGAGCCCGGCCCCCCGGAATGGGGGGCGCGGGGGGTACCCCGCGGGACGCGGTCGGAGCCCCCCCTGCCCCCCCCGTGCCGGTGTCAGGTCCGGAGCCTCCACACCTCGACCGAGAGTCCCCCCGAGGCCGCGGCCACCACGTCGCCGTCCACGCTGATCTGGGGGAGGCAGAGGAGCGCCAGGGGGGCTGGGGGGGCACCCCGGGGGGGGCTGCGTGTGCACACGCGTGTGCAAGGGCTGGGGACGGCTCCTCACCCCGTTGAGGACATCGTCGTGCGTCCAGGAGCAGATGGTGCGGGGGGGATCCGTGGGCACGTGGATCTGCAGGAGAGGCGGGGCTGGGGGTCAGCAGGAGCTCCCCAGGGACCCCCGAACAGCCCCCCAAGGACCCCCCCAGCTCAGCCACCCTAAGGACCGAGCCCCACCCGCAGCGTCCTGTCCGTGGACGTGGTGTAGAGCGAGCCCAGCGAGTGCCAGAGCCCCGTGATCTGCAGCCGGTGCCCCACGTCGAAATACTGCAGGAAGGACAGACAGAAACCCCTGGTGAGCCCCAAAGGGGGGGTCCTGCCCCTCGGGACCCCCCAAGAACCCCCCAGAATCCCTACCCGGGCGGGCTGGAAGCTGCCGCCGCCGCTGCCGAACAGATAAACCCGGCCCTGGTTGTCGCCAGCCCAGAGCTGCGAGCCCCGGTAGGACATGGAGAGCAGGTAATTGTCCAGCTGAGGAGGAGGAGGATGAAGAGACGGCCTGGATGTCACCACGGAGGGGACAGGGACGCTCCAGGAGGGGGGGATTGGGCACAGCCCCCACCTGCAGGCGCTGGCGCACGGAGCCGGCGCGGCGATCGAACACCACGAGCGTCCGGTCCTCGCTGCCCGACACGATCAGCCGCTCGTCGGCCGCCAGCGACAGCACCGCGCTGGCGTGGGGCTTGTAGCTGCTCACCTGGGCCTGCCCGGCTGGGGAGGGGGCGTTTGAGGGGTCAGGGGGATCCCCCAGACCCCTCGACCCCGCCCAAAGCCCCCCAGTACCTCGCGGGTCGTACACGGTCACCGTCTTGTCGTAGGTGCCGGTGACGAGCACGTCGGGGCGGTACGAGAGGCACAGCACGGCCGCCTTCTCTCTGGGGGTGGGGAGGGGGTCAGGGGGGTTCAGGGGGGTTTAGGGACCCCCCAAAGCCCCCCCGGGCCGTACCGGATCTCCCCGAACTGCTGCCCCTCGGCCGCCAGGTCCCAGAGCTTCACGGTGCTGTCCCAGGAGCCGGAGCAGACGCGGGCGTCCCTCGCAGCCAAGCACCACACCCAGCCCTGGACGGGTGGCACACAGGGGCTGCCACACCCCGAACCCCCCTCCAGGGGGTTATTGGGGGGCGGGGGTCGGGTCCGTGCCCACCTTGTGGGTTCCGCTGCGCCCCGAGCCCAGGGCTTTGACCAGAACCTTCCCGGGGGGGCCCCGGCCCAGCTCCCGCAGGTCCCACAGGTTCACGTTGCGGTCGCGGCCCCCCGAGACGCACAGGGAGCCCCCCTGGAATGGGGAGGGGGCACGGGTGAGATGGGGGGATCCCCAGAGGAGGTCCCCCCTCATTTTTGGGGTGTTTCCCCCCATTTCCGGGGGTGTTTTTCCCTACTTTCTCCCCATTTTCTGGCCATTTCCCCCTATCCCCTCCCTATTTTCGTGCCATTTCCCCCCGTTTTTGGTGGTTTTTCCCCTCCCATTTCCCCCAATTTTTGGGGCATTACCCCTCTATTTTCTCTCCCTATCTTTGGGTCATTCCCCCCATTTTTGGGGCATTTCCCCCCATTTTCGGGGGTCCCACCTGCAGCAGCAGCACGGAGTCCACGGAGGCGAAGTGCCCCTCGTCCAGGGAGAAATGCTCCATGGGGGCCCCCCCGGCCCCCCAGCGCTCCAGGTGCTCCTCCAGGTCCTCGCAGGCGGCCGCCCAATCAAAGCCGTCCTCTGGGGGGGCCCCCAAAATTATCGGGGGTACCCACAATCATGGGGGGGTCCCAAAACTATCGGGGGGACCCCAAAACCACGCGTGGGACCCCCAAACATGGGGGCCTCAAAGGTTCCCCAGCCTCAGAGCGGGTTGGGGGGCACGGAGGGGTCCCGGCCCGGCCCCGGGGATGGCGGCGCCCCCAGACCCACCTGGCAGCACGGGCAGGGGGCGGCGGGCGCGGCGCTGCAGGCGGAGCCGCCAGAGCACCGCGTCCCGGGCCAGGTCCCGCAGGGCGCGGCACACGCGGGGCAGCACCCGCCGCACGTCGCGGGCCCGCAGGAAGCCGCAGATCCGCAGCAGCAGCTCCGGGGGCAGCGCCAGGAGCCCCCCCGGGCCCCCCGCGCCCGCCGCCGTTCCCGGGGGCTCCGCGGGAGCAGCGGCGGCGGCGGGCGCGGGGGGCCCGTCCATGGCTGCGGAGGGGGCGGCGGGTTAGGGGCGAGCGCTGCTCCCCGTTCCCGGTACCGGGGCAGCGCCGGAGCTGCCCCACCCGCTCCCCTCACCCCGCGCTCCCGGGATCCGCCCTAACCGGAAAACCGGAACCGCCCGCCGCCAATGCCCGGGGGTACCGGGGGTTCCTCATCCGGCTCGCTCCGGTACCGGGAGCCGCCCCAACTCGCCCCCTTCCCACCCACCTCCCCCTGCCCCGGTACCGGGTCCGGCCCCGCCGCGTCCCGGTCGCTACGGCCACGGCGGGAGCCACTTCCGGCGCGCCGCGCGAATCAGCCAATGGCAGCGCGATTAGCTGATGACGTCATCAGACTGCGCCGGAAGTGAACCGCGTATGATAATGGCGGCGCCCACGGACCTTCCCGAGCCCTCCCCGGTTCTTTCCCCCCCGTCCCCAGTAACAAACGACACGGACACAGCGCACGGTCCAGAACGGCCTTTTCTTTGTGCCGCCCGGCGCGACACCAGCGGGTCCTGCCCTCCCCCTCCCCCGCCACTCCCTTCCCTCCCCCCCCTCCCGATCCCCGCCCTTGGAAACGGTAAAAAAACGAACGGAAACGGGAACGGGCACGGGCACGGGGAAATAAACCAGACACGCGGGACGTGGCACCGACTCGCTCACAGAAAGCACAACGGCTGCGGCTCGGCCCCTCCCCCACCCCCACCCGGGGCTCGCGTGGGGGAGGGGCGGGGGGGGAGGGGACACCGGGGGGACACACACGGGAACGGGCCCCTCCCCCACCCTCCACGGCCCCTCCAGCCCCGATTGTTTCGCGCCCTCCCCTCCCCCAGCGCGGATTTTGGGGGATCCCCCACCCCCAACCCCGCCCCTCCCCCCCAAATTCCTCTGGGGGTCAAAGGTGAAACTCCTCTTGGGGACCCCTCCCCCCTCCCGGTACCGGGACCCCCCCCGGGGCACCGCGGGGCCGCTCTGGGTCCAGTCCCGGTGAGCGCCAACCTAGGGGGAGGAGAGAGAGAATTAGGGAATTTTGGGGGTTTTGGGGGTTTTTTTGTTGGGGGTTTTAGGGTTTTTTTTTGTGGTTCCCTGCCCCCCTCACTCACCTGTCGCAGGTGGTGTCACCCAGGTGTCACACCTGTCACAGCCCATAGAACACCCCCTCACTCACCTGTCACCCAGGTGTCACACCTGTCACAGCCCGTAGAACGCCCCCTCACTCACCTGTCACCCAGGTGTCACACCTGTCACAGCCCGTAGAAGGCCCCCTCACTCACCTGTCACCCAGGTGTCACACCTGTCACAGCCCGTAGAACGCCCCCTCACTCACCTGTCACCCAGGTGTCACACCTGTCACAGCCCGTAGAACGCCCCCTCACTCACCTGTCACCCAGGTGTCACACCTGTCACAGCCCGTAGAACGCCCCCTCACTCACCTGTCACCCAGGTGTCACACCTGTCACAGCCCGTAGAACGCCCCCTCACTCACCTGTCACCCAGGTGTCACACCTGTCACAGCCCGTAGAACGCCCCCTCACTCACCTGTCACCCAGGTGTCACACCTGTCACAGCCCGTAGAACGCCCCCTCACTCACCCTGTCACCCAGGTGTCACACCTGTCACAGCCCGTAGAACGCCCCCTCACTCACCTGTCACCCAGGTGTCACACCTGTCACAGCCCGTAGAAGGCCCCCTCACTCACCTGTCACCCAGGTGTCACACCTGTCACAGCCCGTAGAACGCCCCCTCACTCACCTGTCACCCAGGTGTCACACCTGTCACAGCCCGTAGAACGCCCCCTCACTCACCTGTCACCCAGGTGTCACACCTGTCACAGCCCGTAGAACGCCCCCTCACTCACCTGTCACCCAGGTGTCACACCTGTCACAGCTCGTAGAACGCCCCCTCACTCACCTGTCACCCAGGTGTCACACCTGTCACAGCCCGTAGAACGCCCCCTCACTCACCTGTCACCCAGGTGTCACACCTGTCACAGCCCGTAGAACGCCGCCAGCCGCTCCTTGAGCAGGGGCGGGAACTGCTCCGAGAAATGCGCCCAGTTCCCCTCCCCCACCTGCGCCTTGAACCCGTGCAGGATCTGCGGAGGGGGAGGGGCAAAGGTCAGGGGGAGGGGCGGGGAGACCCCTCCCCAAATCAAATAAATATATTTTAAAATATATATTAAATAAATAAAATATAACTAAATATAAACGATATAATATATAAAATCACATATATATTATATATAAGCATAAATACATAAATACGATTGTAAATATAAGTAAATAATAAAAATACATTTAATATAATAAATAACGTAATAAATATATAAATTAAATAAATATAAATAAAATTTTAATGAACGAATATAAATACGTATATAAATAAGTTACAATAGATATATAATATAATAAAAAATGACTGTATAAATAAATAATAAATAAAATATACAGACCTTGTAGAACATGTCCCGCAGGTCATCCTTGGGGCTCACCCAGGAGGCAACGGCGTCACAGAAGAAAATGAAATCCTGGGGGGAAATGGGACAAAAATGGGAGGAAAAAACACCTCAAAAATGGGGGGAAAAACACCCCAAAAATTGAGAGAAATGGCCCAAAAATGGGGGGAAAAACACCCCAAAAATGGGAGGAAAAACACCCCAAAAATGGGGAGAAACGGCACAAAAATGGGGGGAAATCTGGGGGTGCAGCAGGGACCCCCAAGGTAACCCCAAAGCCAGCTATTCTCTCCCCAAATTGCCCCCACCAATTTTGGGCCCCTTCCTTAATTTGGGGATTCCCCCCGGACTATTTTGGCCCCGCCCTCCAATTTTGGCCCCGCCCCCAGGTTTTGGGACCCCCTCCAATTTGGGGACCCCTCCCCAATTCAGACCCCCCGTACCTGCACGACGCCCCCCGGGTTGACCCCGATCATGACGCAGATGCCCCGGAAGGCCGAGTCCTTCTCCTCGTTATCGCGGATGTTCCGCAGCGACGTGCACCTGGGGAGGGGGTTTGGGGTGAAAAACCGGGATTTTGGGAAAAAATGAGGGGAAAAGGGAATTCGGGGGGGAAAGGGGGGAATTTTGCAGTGAAAAAGAGGAATTTTGGGGAAGTGCACCCCTGGGTGAATAAAGGGAATTTTGGGGTGAAAAAAGGGATTTTGGGGTGCAAAAAAGGGGATTTTGGTCCCCCCAGGCTCACCAGGGCCGGATGAATTGCTGCAGCATCGGCGCCACCTCCTGGGGACACACGAAACCCAGGCGGCCGATGGTGATGGCTGCGGGAAAAGGGGAGTTCATACATTTAGATACATTTATTTGTATATATTTATTGATATATTCCTAATTTTTATATTTGTGTATGTTCATTATATTTATATATTTATTTTATTGGCATATTTATCTATTATATATTTGCAGATTTATAACATGCTTATGTATGTTACATGTTTATATTCATATCTATTTATATATTTAATTCTATATAATTTTCTATACATGTGTTCATAGTGTATATTATTGTATTTATATATTTATAATATTGATATGTTTTTATAAATCTATATATATATGCACTCGTAATTTTGTATCACATAGTAAAAGTTACAATGGGGGTCCCCCTGTGTCTCCCCAGCATGGTTTTGGGGTTCCCAGCAGTTCTGGGTCCCCCCATCAGTTTTGTGTCCCCTCAGCCCTGTCCCCAGCAGGTTTTTGGGGTCCCTCTCTGCCCCCCATCAGTTTTGGGGTGTTCCCCCCCCAGGTTTTTGGGGTCCCCCCTCTCACCGGTGTTCTCCAGCAGGGTTTTGGGGGTGTTGGGGCGGTTGATGATCTCCACCAGGTTCTGCAGCACCATGGGCACATAGGGCTGCATCTCCGACCCTGGGGGACACACGGGGGTCAGGGGGGGGTTTGGGGTGCCCATGGAGGTTTTGGGGTGCCCCGGGGGGCTCAGGGGGCTCTCACCCATCTGCATGCAGATCTCGCCGATGGCCCAGGTCGCATTGTTGCACACGGAGATGAACTCGGGGTTCAGGTTGGTGCCCAGGATGGGCATGAACTCGGCTGGGGAGGGGGCACGGGTGAGCCCAGGCGAACGTGGGGGTGCCCCCAGCCCGGGGAACCCCAACACTCACCGATGCAGGGCTTGACGTGCACGAAGCAAGCCTTGGTGAGGTCCCCCAGGAGGGCGAAGGAGCTCTGCCGCACCTCGGGCATCGTGTCCTGCCAGGGGCACGGGTGAGGGGGCAGAGGTGAGCTGGGGGGATCCCCCGGGATCTGGGGGGACTCCCCCGGGATTTGGGGGTGCAGGGGGGTGCCCCCCTCACCTGCATGCACTGGAACAGCAGGGTCATGATGTTGGAGCGGGCCACGAGCTGCTCCACGTGCCCGCCCAGCCCCTCGGCCAGGCCACTGAGCAGGTCCAGGGCCACGATCATGAAGTCCTTGTCGGGGGCCTCGTACTGCTCGGGGTGCTGGTTGTACATCTGGGGGGCACAGGGGCACCGTCAGCGTCCCTGCCACCGTCACCGCCGCCCCTCGGGGCACGGGGAGGGCTCACCATGGCCTGGGCCAGCGTTTTCTGCACCAGGGTGACGCAGCGCTGGTAGACGGGCTCGCAGTAGGGCAGGAAGCCGCTCTGCAGGGCCGTGGCCACCGAGGACAGGCACTGGGGACGGCAGGGACACCGTGGGGACGTGCTGGGGACGCGTTCAGGGACGGCCACCCCCCCCCGAATGTGTCCCTGCCCCACCTCCAGCAGGGGGAACAGGTCCTTGTCCTCGTCCTTGAGCTCGTTCCACTTCTGGATCAGCGGCGGCATCAGCTTCTGGATGTACTCCTGGGGACAGGGGGACATGGGGTGGGACAGGGGGACACCAGGGTGGGACAGGGGGACAGCGGGGTGGGGACAGGGGGGCACGGTGGGGACAGAGGGACACCTGGGTGAGGACATCCCGGAGGGGTTGGGGACACACTGGGGGGTTGGGGACACCAAGCAGGTGCCAC